CAGGCCGGGTGAGGCCCTGCGTGTGCCCACACGGGCGGCAGTGGCCACTGAGGCAGCCAGATTCCCCCCCAGAGGTGCCAGGCCTGGCAGCAAGGCCTCTGGCAGGACAGCCCACGCTGGGAGCCAGTTCCCAGGCACTGCCAGGGAGGAGAGCTAGCCTGGCTTGGAGGCTGTTGCTATGGTTGAGGGAATTGGGCCGATGGAGGGGGCTCTGTAGAGTTGGGGCAGGCACCTAGAGGTGTTTTCTTATCCCCTGCACTGTCACACTTGACTCCCTGCACATGGAGGGAAGTGTGTGTGCTAGATCCTAGCTGTCTGCTGGCCAGACCTGTCCTAAGACCTAACCCTTTTCTGGGCCAGGCCCCAGCTCAGTAGGAGGCAATAGGCATGGAGACCACCCAGAGGCCATGCTCTGAGGGTGGGACGTGGCACCCTCCAACCTGGCATCAGGGAGGGTCCCTGGGGAACTCTGCTGGCTCATTCCAGGTCCCTGAACCTCAGAGCATTGGAAAACTCCCATAGAATCTCCCAGTGTAGAGGGTGCTGACCTGCTGGGCTGGTCAGAACAAGAGCTGGTACCGAGAACTTGGTCCCTGCTCACTCCCCTGCCTCCTGAAGTCCCAACCCTTGGGATGGAGCTGGGGCTGGAGTGGGGAGACGGGAGGAACGGGGCCTGCACTGCTGCACTTCTCTCCCGCATGGCTCAGGACCCACTCTCTTGCAGTGTCACGCTGAGTCCCCGCCAGGGCCTCCCAAGGATCCCACTAAAGGGCATCTTCCAGGGGGCAAAGGTGGTGCGAGGCCCCGACTGGGAGTGGGGCTCACAGGACGGTGAGTGGGGATAAGGGACTGGGGAGGTGGGAGCCAGCTAGGACTCAGCCTCCAAGCACAGTCTTAGCCTGCTGGCGGGGACACTGTCTCCCTCCCCAGGAGGGGAAGGGAGGCCAGGCCGTGTGGTGGACATCCGAGGCTGGGATGTGGAGACGGGACGGAGTGTGGCGAGCGTGACATGGGCGGATGGTACCACCAACGTGTACCGTGTGGGCCACAAGGGAAAAGTGGACCTCAAGTGTGTGGGTGAGGCGGCCGGCGGCTTCTACTACAAGGAGCACCTCCCGAGGCTTGGTACGAGGCTTGGTACGGGGCTGGCCCCACCGACACCAGCTGCCTTCCTGCCCTGGGTGGGCAGGGCCTGGTCTGTGAAGTCCGGGAGGAAAGCACTGCCTGAAGCTTGGCCTGCTGCCCTCCCCCAGGCAAACCGGCAGAGTTACAGCGCAGGGTGAGTGCTGACGGTCAGCCCTTCCAGCATGGGGACAAAGTCAAGTGTCTGCTGGACACAGACGTCCTGAGGGAGATGCAGGAAGGCCATGGTGGCTGGAACCCTAGGATGGCAGAGGAGAGCGGCCCTGCCTGCCGAGTCCATGTGCCCTCCCCTGTGGACCTCCAGCCCCCTCCTTCCCCAAGAGTTCAGCCCGGCCCAGCCACAGCCTCCATGACCCGCCACAGTTTATCGGACAGACGGGCACCGTGCACCGCATCACGGACCGCGGGGACGTGCGCGTGCAGTTCAACCAGGAGACCTGCTGGACCTTCCACCCTGGGGCTCTCACCAAGGTGCATGGGGGGCTGGGCTGAGCCCCATCATTCGCCTCTGCAACCTCCCCTCCATGTACCTGTTGGGCGAGTGGGATGGTCGCAGTGAGAGCTGTTTCGGAGGGAGGCAGAGGCAGAGAAGGAGGTGGCCGTGGGCTTTCCCACATGGGGTCAGGGAAGGCGGCAGGTCTGGACCAGGGGGCTAGTTAGTGTTGTGGTCTGGAGCTGGAAAGACTGGGACACTGGAAGACTTTGAATGTGAGAGATGGGGGGGTCCCGGGGCAGGTGATGTGTAGTGGATTTTCTACAGGCGAGGACACAGATGCTGGGGGAGAAATGGGCCCATAAAATGCCATTCTGGCCCAACCCCCTGACCCTAGGGCCCTGCCCTGCACTATTTTCTCTGTGGGCCTCTGCCATGCTGCCAGCTGCCCTGTCTCTGTACAGGCTCCACAGGGACAGGCTACCTTGGCCTTCACACCTCCCCAGAGTTGTCTCGTGTGGCCTGGGTGTCGCTTGACTCTCCCTGCACGTGGAAAGAAGTGTGTGTTCTAGATCCCAGCTGTTTGATGGCTGGCATGGGAACAGGGGCAGCTGTCTGGACTCTGCTGGCCAGACCTGCGATCTGGGGCCTCTCCAGGCTGCCTTGGTTACCGGTGGGCCTATCCAGCCAGACACCCCTGGTTGTGCCTTGGGGCAGGGGTCCAGTTCTGGCCTGCTTGTTCTGTGGAACTCAGTAGAGGGTGCCTTCCTGCTCACAACCTCGGCAGCCCTATGTGACTGGGGAGACCCCCTCACGTCCCTCTCTATTGCTCAGCACAACTCCTTCTGGGTGGGCGATGTGGTTCGTGTCATCGATGACCTGGACACAGTGAAGCGACTGCAGGCTGGGCATGGCGAGTGGACAGACGACATGGCCCCTGTGAGTGCCCCCGCCCTTGCCGCCTCTCTCACACCTGGGACGTGCTGTGACCTCACCTTTCCCCCTCAGGCTCTGGGCCACGTGGGGAAGGTGGTGAAGGTATTTGGAGATGGGAATTGGGCCGCGTTGGGAAGGTGGTGAAGGTATTTGGAGATGGGAATCTGCGTGTGGCAGTTGGTGGCCAGCGATGGACCTTCAGTCCTTCCTGCCTGGTGGCCTACCGGCCTGAGGAAGACGCCAACCTGGACGTGGCCGAGCGCGCCAGAGAGAACAAAAGTGCGGCAGAAAACTAGGTGCCAGTGGGAGGGGGGCTGCCTTGGGCCACCACTTACCACAGCCCTGCCCCCAGGCTCGCTCAGTGTGGCCTTGGACAAGCTTCGGGCCCAGAAGAGTGACCCAGAGCACCCAGGGCGGCTCGTGGTGGAGGTGGCACTGGGTACCATGGCTCGGGCTCTGGACCTACTGCGGAGGCACCCAGAGCAGGCAAGCTCCCGCCCTGCCTTCCTCCCCTTGGGCCAGCCTCGGATCAGGGCAGAGGGTCTGGATTTACTTGCTGGGTCTCCGAGCAGGTGGACACCAAGAACCAGGGCAGGACTGCCCTGCAGGTCGCTGCCTACTTGGGCCAGGTGGAGCTGGTGCGACTGCTGCTGCAAGCGAGGGCAGCCGTGGACCTGCCGGATGATGAGGGCAACACAGCACTGCACTATGCAGCCCTGGGGTGAGGCCCGGGCGGGGCCTGCGGGAGCTCTGTGGGCTGAGCCTCCTGATCCAGGCAGTGAACAGGGAGCTCCTTCTCCCCTGCTTCTCCCTTCAGGAACCAGCCTGAAGCAGCCCGGATGCTCCTGAGTGCAGGATGTGGGGTAGATGCCCTCAACAGCACCAGGAGCACAGCCCTGCATGTTGCTGTGCAGAGGGGCTTCTTGGAGGTGGTGAAGATCCTGTGTGAGCATGGCTGTGATGTCAACCTGCCTGTGAGTGCTGGTCCTTGGGTGCTCAGACCCTACCCCTGCGGTCAAGGAGGCAGCTTGACCCCAGAGGAACTGACCACCAAGTGATCACTGGCTCCCCCCACAGGATGCCCATGCTGACACACCCCTGCACTCTGCCATCTCAGCGGGTGCCGGTGCCAGTGGCATCGTTGAGATCCTCACGGAGGTGCCAGGCGTTGATGTCACCGCCACCAACAGCCAGGGCTTTACACTGCTGCACCATGCGTCCCTGAAGGGCCATGCACTGTGAGTGTGGGGTGGGCACACAGCTGGCAGCCAGCCTCCTGCTGTGCTGCTGGACCACCCTGGGGATGACCCCAGGTCCTGGACAGATCTCCCCGCTCCCACAGAGCTGTCAGGAAGATTCTGGCACGGGCGCGGCAGCTGGTGGACGCCAAGAAGGAGGACGGCTTCACAGCGCTGCACCTGGCCGCCCTCAACAACCACCGGGAGGTGGCTCAGATCCTCATCCGGGAGGTGTGGACAGGGTCCCTGGGTCATCTAGGGACCGGGGAGCTGGAGGTTTATTGGGATCCTTGGCTGAGCCTGTGCCTGTCCCCCACCCCCAGGGAAGCTGTGATGTGAATGTGCGCAACCGGAAACTCCAGTCCCCACTGCATTTGGCTGTGCACCAGGCCCACGTGGGGCTGGTGCCACTCCTAGTGGATGCTGGCTGCAGTGTCAACACGGAAGACGAGGAGGGGGACACAGCCCTGCATGTGGCACTGCAGCGTCATCAGCTGCTGCCCCTGGTGGCTGATGGGGCTGGGGGGGACCCAAGGCCCTTGCAGCTGCTGTCCAGGGTGAGGAAGTACGGAGCTGGATGCTGGAAAGGTGGTGTGGCCCCTGGCTGCAGGCTCCCAGCAGGGCCTGCGCGACTGTCCACCTTCCACCTATGGTGATGGCCTAGGGAACCAGGCTTTCTGGGGCTTGGGGAAAGCTTAGGAGACTGCACTGTTCAGATTCTCTATGACCCCTGCCACCCTATATTCTACACCTCTGATCAGCCTGGGAAAGTGGCGTGTGTGTGGGGGAGGGGGTAGTGTCTCAGAACTCAGTCCCATCTGCAGAGTCATGGAAAAGGGGTGCCTCTTTAGCTTTTCCCCTGACCTGAAGCCCCAGCCTCAGACAGGAAGGGGTGCCAGTTCCTGCTGTCCCAAGGCCTTGCTCTGCCTGGTGCCAGCAGAGGCATCCCTTATACCTGCTCCAGTGCCCACCCTCACTGGCCTATGTCCTGCCACGCAGCTGCAGGCCTCGGGCTTCCCTGGCAGCTCGGAACTGACAGTGGGTGCAGCGATCGCCTGCTTCCTGGCGCTAGAGGGTGCAGATGTGACCTATGCCAACCACCGTGGTAGGAGCCCGCTGGACCTGGCAGCTGAGGGCCGTGTGCTCAAGGCTCTCCAAGGCTGTGCTCAGCGCTTCCGGTGAGCACCTACCGTGGGGAAGAGGGCGTCTACATCCACAGAGCCCTTGTCAAAGCCTCCTCTTTCAATTACAGGGAGCGACAGGCAGGTGGTGGCGGGTGTGCGGCCCCAGGCCCCAGGCACGTGCTCAGCACCCCCAACACAGTGACAAACCTGCACGTGGCCCCAGCATCGGGGCCGGAGGCAGCCGAGTGCTTGGTGTGCTCTGAGCTGGCGCTGTTGGTATTGTTCTCACCCTGTCAGCACCGCACCGTGTGCGAAGGTGAGTAGGGTGTACCGAGAGTGAGGCCAGCACTGCCCTGCACAAATGCCCCACAGCCCAACTGTGTGCTCCCACACCTCCCACAGAATGTGCGCGCAGGATGAAGAAATGCATCAGGTGCCAGGTGGTCATTGGCAAGAAACTGCGCCCAGGTGGGTGAGACTGTGCGCCCCTTGCCCGCTTCCTTCTCTATGCTGGTAGCTCATAGCCCCCAACCGGGGTTCCTGGGACAGCCCTCTGCCTACAGTCACACTCTGCCCCCGGCTCCGCCCACAGCTCAAGTTCCGCCCTTCCTCCAGCCCCGCCCACAGCTCACCTCCTGTCCACCCTGTCCATCCCGTCCCCCCTGCAGACGGATCAGAGGTGGCGAGTGCAGCCCCGGCGCTCGGCGCACCGCGGCAGCTTGTAGAGGAGCTGCAGAGCCGGTACCGGCAGATGGAGGAGCGCATCACCTGCCCAATCTGCATCGACAGCCACATCCGCCTAGTGTTCCAGTGTGGTCACGGCGCGTGCGCGCCCTGCGGCGCTGCTCTCAGCGCCTGCCCCATCTGCCGCCAGCCCAGCAGCGACCGCATCCAGATCTTCGTGTGAGCCCACGACCCCCCCACCCCGCGCCCAACTGGGCCCGGCCCGCTGCGAGCCACGTCCCAGAACTGCCTCGCAAGCCCTCACTCTGTGTTTTATAAAAAGATTCACGGATTCTGCCGTTTGCTGCCTGCCTGGGGGTCCTGGGGCGTCCCGCCCCGGTGTGTGTGTGTGTGTGTGTGTGTGTCATACCTCCTCGTGGTTCCACCCGCACGCTACCCGCTTGTCCTAACTAAGCTCATGGGTCCAGATGTCAGATCAGACTCTGACCCCTAGGCTAGAACCATCCTTCAGGCTCAGGCAAGTCTACCTCCTGCAACCTTGGCCTTGGCCTGACAAAGAAGGGGGTCTGGGACCAAGTTGTCCTCTGACCCAGTCAAGTGGCCCTTCGCCACCCAGAAGGCACCTGTGTCTGCCCATGGGGCCCTTCCTGTGTCTTTCTCCCTCCTCTCTGTCCTTGAGGAGAGTTGTGGAGATTTGGACTGACCCAAGCAGGGCCCTGTTCTCCAGGGCTGTGGTGTCCTGGCCTGGCAGGGAGAGGGTAGGGGCCCTGGCAGGGTGCAAAGCTGTCGCGCTGGGTGAAAAGGGGACCTGAGGAGAGGGCAGGACACATGCAGGGTGGGGCAGGGGAGCTGGTGGGCTCCGGGAAGAGGGGGGTCCTTGTTCTACACTGGGTCTGCCAGCTGGTGCTTTCCAAGAACCACACTGTTCTACCCCCCTCCCCTCTCGTGGCTACTGGCCAGGTGCTTGGCCCTGATTCTGCTGGCCGGACTGCCACTTTCACTCTGAGCCCAAGACTGGCCTGAAGAACGGGGAGAAGCGGGACACCCGACCAGGACTGACTCGGAGCCTCCCGCCCCTTGGCCCAATTTCCCTCAGCTCCCCCAGCCCACCCACTCCACTGACGGCCCGCAGGTCCCAGAATCACTGTGCTGCAGCAACCAGGCGCTCTCGCCAACATCCCGCCTGGCTCGGCCCCCATCCGGCGCAGCTGCAGGCAGGGCAGTCTAGCCTTCTGGCCCCCGCGCGCCGGCCCCCACTTCCACCCCGCCCCCACGCCAAGAGCGAGCCAGACCTCCACGCCTGGCGCCTGGCTCTGCTTCTCTTTTTCCCGTTCCCAGAACCCCTTCTCCTCTCTGGGAGCTTAGTCCGGGATTCCTCCTCTACACCATAGAAGGTAGAGAAGTGCCTTCTCCTTGGGGTCCCTTCTGAGCCAAGGCCCACTCCTATGCTGGCCCATTACTGGCTCCCCGCGGGACTCCTGCAGGTCCGGTGCCTCCTGCACCCTCGGATCTTGACCCCTTCGGGGACCCTTCCATACTCACATGCTCCTCCTTCCCCTCGGCCGCCCCATCCTCACTGCCACGTCCCCTCATCACGGCATCCCCTCCCCTCTCGCGGGACACCGTCAGGCCGGCGTCGGCGAGGCATCCTGGCTGGGTAGGCTCAGCTCCAGGCCAGGATGGAGACTCCACTCCCGAGTCTACTCTGGGGTCTAGGGATTTCGGGGCTTTCCATCTGGGTAAAATCAAATGGGTCATTCAGCCATAGCCAGTTTGGAGACCCTGACAGTCCTTCCCTAAGCCTGAGTTTCTGGTGCCTGTCCCTCCCTTGGCTGCCCAGGGCCCTCTTTTCCCCCATCCAAGTGACCCCTCCCAAAAGGCGGTTCCAGGGTCACTGCTACGGACCCACGGGGCCACCGCGACCCTCAGCTGGAGACAGCGGGCTGCTCCCGACAACGGAAGAACCAGCTTGTTCCCTTCAGTGGCGGCCCAGCCCCCCACCCCTTGCAATCCCCCCCCACGGTGCTGTAACCCGAGCCGGCCCGTTGCCGCCTTCCCTCCCGCGCGCCTCGGCCGGGCCAGGCCGGGGCTCCGCACGCAGCCCAGGTCCCCGCGCCGCGCTGCCCCATGCGGCCCTGAGCCCAACAGCGAGTCCGCCATGGCCCGGAGGGCCTGCGTCCCCTTGGAGACGTCGGGGACGAGCGTTCAGGGCCGCCGGCTGGGAGCGGTGCTGGGCGCCCTGTGCCTTCTCCCCGCGCTGGTGTTGCTGGTCCGGACAGGGGCGCCCGCGGTGCCTGCCCAGAGCATAGCACAGGTGAGCAGCAGGCAAGACCAGGTGCATGGGGTCGGTTCCGAGTCTGTGGGTATGTGGGCCCGGACGGTGTCCGTGGCTCGTGGGGTGAGAGCTCTGTTTGTTCAGATGTAAGTTCCTTGGTCAGGCTTCTGGCTTTTGTGGCCAGCGTTCGGGGAGGTGGGAGGTGGTAGGTGGTGCATCTGAAGCCCAGTTCCATCTCCCACCCCGCCTGTTTTCAACACCTTTTTTCCTATGACATTGAGTAACTGACGCTCAGAGTAGAAAACCAGAAAATAGGAAACATCGGCACTACCCCTCCCCATTACTTTCCAAGTCCATTTTTCACACCACTTTTGGGGCTTGGTGTCATCCCCACTGCCTCCCCCCACACATTTTCTTCCATTGAAGGAAGACAGCACTGTCCCCGGACCCTTGGGAGTTCCCAGCACCTGGGTTTCCAGCCCACTGCCCCTGCTGGCCCCGCGCAGACGACGCTACACGCTGACCCCAGCCAGGCTGCGCTGGGACCACTTCAACCTCACCTACAGGTTTGACCTGGCCCTGGGATGGGGGCACAGCCGCCACTGGGCCGCCACCCCTAACCTTCACATTCATCCCAGGATCCTCTCCTTCCCTCGGAACCTGCTGAGTCCTCGTGAGACACGGAGGGGTCTGGCTGCTGCCTTCCGCATGTGGAGTGATGTCTCCCCCTTCAGCTTCCGCGAGGTGGCCCCTGAGCAGCCCAGTGACCTCCGGATAGGTGGGCGCCGTGCCCCTGCCCTGCCTGGCCCCATGGGCCGTCTCTCAGCCCTGTACTTTCCCCAGGCTTCTACCCGGTCAACCACACGGACTGTCTGGTCTCCACCCTGCACCACTGCTTTGATGGCCCCACGGGCGAGTTGGCCCATGCTTTCTTCCCTCCCCACGGTGGCATCCACTTTGACGACAGCGAGTATTGGGTCCTAGGCCCCACGCGCTACAGCTGGAAGAAAGGTGACCATCAGCCTGGTTTCCTGTGAGGCCTTCATTCTCTGCAGTGGAGTGGTGGGCTATAGCAGGTCTTTGGGGAGGAAGACAGGAGGGACTTTGGGTGTGGGTCCTGATGCCTATTTGGGGTCAAGCAGGCAAGGGAGGGGAGGCTATGGGAGCCCACAGGCCTGGGTTCCCACAGCCAGAGACTCTCTACCCTCCCCAACCCCCAACACCACTGGAGAGGGAGCTGGAGCTGCATTCCTGGGGGCCGAGCTCACTGCCCAGGCCCGGAACATTCTTATCTTCCCGAGGCTGAGCCTGTGGCTGAGCCTGTGGCTGCGGCAGCAGAGGGCGGTTCCACTGCTGCATCCAGCAGATGTTCTGGGCCTCAGGGAGGGGCTGGGCCAGGGGTCCCAGGCCCTGACCTGAGGGGCTTGTAGGCGTGTGGCTCACAGACCTGGTGCACGTGGCGGCCCATGAGATCGGCCACGCGCTGGGCCTGATGCACTCGCAGCATGGCCAGGCTCTCATGCACCTCAACGCCACACTGCGGGGCTGGAAGGCGCTGTCACAGGATGAGCTCTGGGGGCTGCACCGGCTCTATGGTGGGTACCCTTGGCAGGGTGGGTGGGCAGGCAGGCAGGGGACCCAGTGGGCCCTGAGCCAGGATACACTGCCCACAGGCTGCCTGGACCGACTGTTTGTGTGTTCATCCTGGGCACGGAGGGGCTTCTGCAAAACCCGTCAGAGGCTCATGAAGAGACTGTGTCCCAGCAGCTGTGACTTCTGCTATGGTGATGCCCAGGGTGGGGCCAGGCAGGGCAAAGTTTCCTGATCTGGGCCATGGTCTTGGCTGGGGGTAGCACTGATATGGCACTTTTACCCGCTTGGAGCAGAATTTCCCTTCCCTACGGTGGCTGCGACTCCACCACCTCCCCGGACCAAAACCAGGCTGGTACCAGAGGGCAGGAATGTGACTTTCCGCTGTGGCCAGAAGATCCTTCACAAGAAAGGCAAAGTGTAGTAAGTGACCAGTGCTGGCCAGGCATAAGCAAGGGCTGGGGCAGCCCAGGGTCTGGGGTGGGTCTCGGGCCACGGTTGTACCTGTAAGTGCCTCCCCTCCACAGCTGGTACAAGGATCAGGAGCCCCTGGAGTTCTCCTACCCTGGCTACCTGGCCCTGGGTGAGGCACAGCTGAGTATCATCGCCAATGCCGTCAATGAGGGCACCTACACATGCGTGGTGCGCCGGCGCCAGCATGTGCTCACCACTTACTCCTGGCGCATCCGTGTGAGAAGCTGAGCTTTCTCGGAGCCCTGCTGGACTGGGGAGGCCTGACTGATAAAGCACTTTCTCTCTGATGTCTCTGTACCCTTTCTTAAGAGGTCATCAGAGTGACAAAGGTGCTCTGTCTACCTGGTTACGGGGACCAAAACACTCCTTACTTTACCACCTAGTTCCTTGGGGTGAGGTTAGAGCCAGCAAAGACAGGGCAGGAAGGGCTTAGCCAACACTGGGAAAACACCAGCCAGGATAAGCCAAGGCCTAGTGCCAGCAGCTGAAACCTGGGTGAGCTGGGCAGAACTTGGGATCCCTGTCTAGAGTTTGCTTAGAGGTGGGGGAGGAAAGAAGGCTAGGCCTGGAAGGGAGGGGGCCAGTCAGGGCAGAAGTGAGTTGCCTGGTGGGTGCGAGCACACCTTTCTTCTGCCTGCTGCCACCACCCTGCTCAGTCAGGTCAGAAGTAGGAGGCCCAGGAAGCTGGCAAGAGTCTGGTCCACGTGGGGTCAGAGGCTATAGAGCTGAGCACTGCCCTTCCTCATCCTCAGAGCCTGGATGGCCTATGGGTCTCCTCCCAGCATACCCATGAGAACCAACTTAGAACCAACTTAGCTCAAAGAACATACCAGAGCTCCCCTCCAAGAGTATTTTTCTACATTTAAAATCTATAACCATCTCATGTATAAAAACCTGCCATGGCTGCAGCTGTCCACACATCTGGGTCTGAGAAACCTGGGCAGGGTGGAGGGGAGGGAAAAAAGGCCTGTGTGGAAGGGGTGGTCTGGATGCCTCAGCTGAGGGGTAGGAAGTTCTTATTCATCCACATGCACAAACAGGTCTCCAGTCCCAAAGATGAAAAAAAAGAAAAATCCCATAGCTTTACCCCCAAATCACAGCCTGGCCTGTTGGGCCCATTCACACTAGGCACCTCCCCACACTGGGCAAGTCAAATATAGCTGAAAACATACTCTCTCTCCCTCCACAACAAGGAAAATGTGATTTAATTCTATAAATTTACAAACCAAAAATATAAAAACAAAACATGGAAAACCGAGTAAGATGAGGAGTTCCAAGATGTGAGCCCCTCGATCCATAGTAGCTCTAGCCCCAGCAACCTGGTCTACGGCGGGGCAGGACCTGGATGCTCTCTGTGCTCAGAACTTGAGGCTGAAGCCGGGGCCTGCAGCTGAGGCCCCCTGGTTGGTGGTGGTGAGGTGGAAGCCGGTCTCCTTCAGGTCATCGTCACCCTGGGAACGAGTCAGGCACCATAAGGATCCTGCCCTAGCCAGTCCCAACCATGGGGAGTCCCACAAACGGCCCTCACCAGCTGGCTGTAGCCCAGGCCACCCTCTGGGGGCCGTGGGCTGGTGCCTCGTTTCACTCTTTGTTGCTCACTCTTGGCTGGCCATGTGGGGAACATCGAGGGGTCAATGGGAAGGGGTGTCTCACGGAAATACTCATGCTTGAGGCCATCTTCTGCGTTGATCCTCCTCCCAGGGAAGTAGGTCAGAAACCTGGAGAGAAAAAGGGCATCTGGTGCATACCAAGTGGGTGGCTGCCACAGGGCCTGGAGCTGAGCCCGAGTTGGCTAGGCAATGGGGGAGGTCTTGACTGCTCCAGAAAGCCTCCAGAGGCTGCAGATGTGGTAACGCTCTATCTGCCCAGGGCTGTCTTAGACTTACTTGTTCATGAGATCAAAGCCCTGGTCTGACAGCAAGGCCCCAAAGCGCTTGCGCAGGTTGTTGTAAGGATACTCGCTGAAGGTCATTTTCTTGACTGCCGGGAGGTCATTGTAGCCAGGCCAGATTTTCTCACTAGGGGTCCCCAGGTCCTGAAAGACAGGTTGTCTAAAACGGTCATGCCCTGTACTTCCCCCAGGCTTCTACCCAGTCAACCACACAGACCATCTGGTCTCCACCCTGCACCAGGAACCTGTACATGGATGCATGGTGCCAATGTTCACATTACAAAGAAGATCCAAGAGGCCATGCTGTGGTGGAGACCTATCTCCAGCCCAACCTCACACACACACACACACACACACACACACACACACACAGCCCCACCTATTCCTTGTGGCTCCTGCACAAACTCAGCAGGTCACACACAGGAGGAGCCCCATGTTCACAGAGGGACCATCATGGCCAAGCTCCCAGACCCACCTTAAACACTTTGTTGATCTGATCAATTTCTGACTTCCCAGGGAACAGAGGCTTCTGAGTCAGCAGTTCCCCAAAGATGCAGCCTACTGACCACATGTCCACAGCTGTGGAGTATTCCTAGGAGTCCAGGAGGCATAGGTCAGTGGGGATAGCTGGGCTGCACCCCCAATATTAGGTCATGTGTCTGTACAATGCTGCCCTAGGGGAAGGAAAGGCTCTCAGGACCCCTCAGGACTCACCTTAGCACCCAAAAGCAGCTCTGGGGCACGGTACCAGAGAGTCACCACGACTGGGGTATAGGCCTTCAGGGGGGACCCGTACTCTCGAGCCAGCCCAAAGTCACCTACCTGCAAGAACAGATGGATAGGCTACAGATGCCATCCAAACCATTTGGGGCGAGACACCCTCCAACAGGGCTCACCTTGAGAATGCCAGCATGGCTCAGTAGCAGGTTGGAAGTCTTGAGGTCTCGGTGCAGGATCCAGTTGTCATGCAGGTGCTTCACTCCCCGCAGCAGCTGGATCATCAGGGTCTTCACCTCTCCTAGGACAGAGATATGGTCAGATGCACGCCTCTTCCCCCTAGTGAGTTCTCACAGGCCCCGACATAGGGTTTGAGTTCCTCAAGGTTATTTACTTGCCTCCTGCTCAGGGGATGGCTGCAGACCAGTGCTGCTTGTGCACACACAGTGGTCACCAGGGCCACTACAAGGACACTGCTCCTGCTTTTGTCCCACAAGCCCCCAGAAACATGGTCAGAAGGTGGACTGCTGAGCCGACACCCTCACATCAAAAGCAGATCTGTGCGTGCAGTATACCTGGCAGAAAGGGCTGCTTCATCGTCTCCATTAGGCTCTTGAGGTCGTGTTCTACATAATTCATCACAATGTAGATCTTATCCATGTTGCTGCCCACGACAATTTCCTAGGATACGAACAGCAGGTGTTAGGCTCTCACGCCCCACCAGCAGGTTCTCTCGGGAGCCTGAAAGATGGGTGCAGATGCGCAACAACAGTGAAAACCTACGATTACAGTTGTGGAGGCCCATGTTTATTTTTGTGCTGCCTGTGAACAGGGAAGAGCACAAATCGCCTAATTCCAGGGTGACATGGAACCTTCGCAAGGGACAGGCCTTCCCCCATGGCAAGCAGGTTGGGCATAGGGGATGGGCCTTACTCTGACTGTTACAATGTTGGGGTGCTGGGCCTTGAGGATGGTGTTGATCTCCCTCAGTGATGTGATGGGAAAACCCTCCTTTTCCTTCTCCATTTTCAACCGCTTCAAAGCCACAATTTCATCTGTAAAATAAATAATTTAAAAACAGGTGGTGATACGACATTCTCATGCAAACAGATTAACGTGTTTAATGGGAACTTTAGCTTTTGCTTACTGAGCATGTGTAAGAGATCTTGCCTTAGCTGATGGTGTACATATTAGCACCAGGAAGAAAAGCCTCGCCTTGTGGGCTTGTAGAAGCTTAAGGAACGTTCTCCCATACACTCACATTTGCCTACCACGAACTCAAGGAGGCACATCTCCATGTCCAACCTCCTCCTATCTCAGCATCAGCTACTCAGCCCAATGGCTACCAGGGGAGTCCACACCTATGCCAGGGCCTCATTCAAGACTGATGTTGCCAAGACAGACACCAGGCAAACATGCACATCAGAACCATATAGTTCACTGACCAGACTTCCCTTTAAAGTAGCCCTGGTCTCATTATTCCCCTGTGGGGTATGGCACCTGCTGTCACATTTGGGTAATGGAGCCCCAGGGCCAGGCTGACTTCCGGCTTCCAGAGAGGCTCAGGGTCCACCCCCAAACACCTGCTCAGGTGTGTGTTACCCATGAGTAATAGCTTGTGACAGGCCTGGGAGGGGCTGGAGAGATAGATCCAAGGAGTCAGATGGATGTGAATCCAAGGTAACAACCTTGTACTGACAGTGCTCAGGGTGAGGTCAGAGTACAGCAGCCAGGAGCATGGATGGCCAGAGCTCAGTCCTCAGCTTGTAGCTCACTGACCCTGCCCTGGGAAGATGGTGTAACATCCCTACAGAGGGAGCCTCTGCATAGGAGCTTGTGCCCAGGAAAGGCTGCCATTGGTAGAACACTCCAAGGCAGGGTGTGCACTCGTGCACAGGGTGCACTCCACTAACCACTGCTCCTGAGGTGGCTCTTTTCTGCCCGAGGACAGGCCAGGCTCTCAGGACTACCCAGTGCCATCTCCCAAACTCCTTTCTGAGACTGGGGACATACCCACCTGTTTTCTTGTCTTTTGCCCTGTAGACCACCCCATATGTGCCCTCCTCGATCCTGTTCAGGCACTGGAACTCCTCCACACTCCGGCAGCCCTGGGATGAGATACCAGTGTAATCAGCCACATCGTTCCAAGTGGTACTTCCATTCATGCCCACACCAAATTATGTGCAGAATAGGTGCACAGCAAAACTGCCTGAGAACACCCTCAGGAAGGCAGTGTGTGCGTGTGGTGGCAGGACCAGGAAAAACTTTCTGAGACTATGTGAACGAGACTATGTGCCACTTTATTACCAAATAAAACCAGCATGAACAAAAGCCCATCCCAAGAGTTTGTCCCTCAAACTAGGCATGTCCCTTGACTGTCGTACTAAGATGATACCCTCAGTGCCCCAGACACCATACAAGTATGTGCACTACAGGGTTGGTGTTCAGGCCAGATGCCATCCCTTCAGTGTGGCACGTGGCCAGGATCCCACGAAGCATGGGAGTAGTCAACAGGGGTGGCTGTATCTGCCAGAATTTTCCAACTGGGGCACCAAAAAGACCAGGATTCTTGGTGGTGTTTCAGGCCCCTTCCCATACATATCCTCTTGAACACCCCCTTCCACAACCCTACCAGTAACATCCTTCATGTAGAGAAGGATCGCAGTCACACGGACCCCACAGACTCCTGTGGCCACACTCTGACTTCTGTATAGCGGCAGGTGATGACTAGGCCCTGGTGCCCACCTAACCCACCCATCCAGGGGTGGAGGGGATGCACACAACCTGCAGAGGACCTGGCCCGGGGATGGAGGGCAGCTACCCATCAGCTGAGGCAGTAGCAGCAGAGAGAGTAGAGTAACTCCCCCAGCACCCAGGCTGTTGCCATCTGCGTTGTGGAGCAGCCTTTTCCACTGAGTATGAGAATACAGGGGACCAGTGCCATGAATGGTCAGCCTGACCTTCACTGCATGAGCAGACCCAGAAGCAGCACCCTCAGGGCATAGACAGCAAGGCCAGGGGACCAGACTGACCTCAGTCCCCTGTCCTGGCTATAATGGGTGAGGGAAGGGCAGGGATGGGAAAGGAGGAGCCTGACCTGCAGGGCCGGCAGGTACTTGGGCAGCTCCTGCTTGAGCTCGATGGGAGACAAGGCTGGGGAGTCAGGCACGTAGTCTCCTTCGGTGAGGGCGCTGCTCTGAGGGGTCCCCTCACCCACTTCTTCCTCCCCTTCTTCGCTTTCCCCAGAATCTCGGTCAAATCGTGACTCTGGAACTTTAAAGTTAAACCTAATTATGGAACCAGGAATAAGCAAGTGTTGCAAACCCTCCCCTAGCCTGGGAAGGATACTGAGTGTAGGGCAGTACTGCTGGAATGTCTCTTCCAGTGTGTCCCCCCCCCCACCAAAAACAAAACAAAACAAGAAAACAAAAACAAAGGACACTGAGGATTCTGAGTTCTGGTAAGCCCAAGGATACTGAGATCCAAGGACAAGTGCAGGTACCACATGCAGGGGGCCTGCTTAGAACTTGGTTTGCCATGCCGAGAACACAGCCTTGCTGCTAAGGGTCACATCAGGCCTCCCCGTCAAGTAATGGCTCATGCCACCAGACTCAGGAGTTGCTCTGCTGAGGACTGGACGTGGGTGCATTTCCCAGTCTCCTCAGCATCCAAATCACAGCAGGTCTCACAAAGATGCCATTGAGCTAAAACTGCTCCTTGTGGGCCAGCAGGTGGCACAGTGGTTAAGGGTTAAGGTGCTGGACCACACATGGCCAACTGTATAGTTTGAGTCCTGGACCTAGACACTTGAAAAACACTCTGAGCACATGGGCATGCATGTTCAAAATACTAAGAGAATGAAGGAGAGAAGGGGCTATGGTGTGGCCATACCTGCCAGGGGGTGATTTCTCACTATCTCTACCACTGTCTCTCTCCAGTGAGTGCATGTACCCTCTAAGAACAAAACAAAAAACAGGTGCTGGCAGGTGGAGCAGATGGCATGGCGGTTAAGGCACTGGATTTCCACATGTCCAACCACAGTCTGAGTCCCAGACCTGGCAGCTTGCTTTCTCATTCCCATAACCCTCTGTCTCTCTGGTCAAATTCAAAAATAATAATAACAGGACCAGCCGTTAGTGTTATGGCTATGTTGCTGGACTCCTATGTAGTTGACCACAGTTTGAGTCCTGGACCCGGTGGCTTAAACTCATGCCGGGCGTGTGTGCGCCCAGGATCCTGAGAGGAGAATGGAGAAGGGATTGCGGTGTGGCCATCTCCCCTGGGGGGTGATTTCTCGTTTTCTATCTCTGTCTCTCTCTCTCTGTCTGGCGAGCGCATGCGCCCTATAGCAAAAACCTCTCCAATAAAAAAAAAAAACTAATAATACTTAAAAACAAAAACAAAAAAACTAAAAGAAAAAAAAACTTACACACACAAAACAAACAAACAAACGGCTCCTTGCTGAATGTTGGTCCTCAGTGTAAGCCCAGGGGCCAAGTGGCCAGGTGTGGTCCTTGAGTTCGAGACTGCTGGCCTCAGGCCCTAGACACTGACAAGACTGAACGTCACTGTAGCTTCTGGGAAAATTACAAGTTCCTGGTGCACTATAAACTCAAATGATGGCCTATCTCAACAGGGAGGGCTACACAGTCATACAGATATCACATTTAAGGACAGATGAAGCAAAAGTGAACTATCGCAGGGAGGCCTCTTACCAACCAGGATGTGGTTCTCACTCTCTCGCTCTTCATCCTCACTCATTTCTTCCTCACTCACTTCTTCTGCAAAAGAAAACAGGCATCTGGGCTGGCCCCATGGCCTAGGGATTAAGGGAGCTGCATCCCTCATGGCTGACTATGGTTCGAATCCTGGCCCCAGTGGCCTGAAAAACACACTGAGTACGTATGTGTGTGAACTCCAAATCCATATGGAATGGAGAGATGGCAGTGAAGAGACTGGTGTGGCTGTGCCCCACTGGGGCTGTTCTCTCCCCTCTCTCACTGGCTAAGAGAGCACGTATACCCTCTGGCCATTAGAAAAGAAGAGAAGAGAAGAGAAGAGAAGAGAAGAGAAGAGAAGAGAAGAGAAGAGAAAAAGTGAGGGGAGGGGAGGAAAAAAAGAGGGGAGAAGAGAAGGGGGGATGGGAGGAGAGGAGAGGAGAAGAGGGGAGAGGAGAGGAGGAGGCATCCACTCAGATCAGCGTGGGCTGAACACTGGTCTGGGAACTGCCAAACCTTCTACAAGCAGCACCAGGATCAGTTTTAACCAATGGAGGGCAAGTGTTCCAAAATGGAAATGTTTTCATACTAGACTTCAAACTGTTTGTTCACATCTTTTTTTTGGAGAGATTTTTGCTATAGGATGTGTGTGCTCACCAGAAAGACAGAGAGAGACAGAGAGACAGAAAGTAAGAAATCACCCCCCGGGGTGGATAGCCATGCCGCAATCCCTTCTCCTCCATGCTCCTCTCTGGATCTTGGGCATGCACACACATGTGCCTGGCATGAGTTTAAGTCACTGGGTCCGGGACTCGAACAGCGTTCGACTACATGGGAGTCCAGCGACATAGCCATTATGCAAACTGCTGGTTCCTGTTCACAGGTCTTAAGCACTCTAAATACATAATGTCTTTACTATGAGGTTAAACCACCGTGAGCCACACTTTCCTTATGAGCCATGCTCTCCTTACCAGCCGACTGTTCTGATGCCTCCTCGGAGTTGCTCCCTGTCTCCTCCTCCTCTTCCTCCTCCTCCTCCTCCTCCTCCTCCTCTGATTCTTCACTGGTGCTCCCCTCCTCTTCCTCCTCCTCCTCTTCTTCCTCCTCCTCTTCAGAACCTGACCCTGACTCCGCTGAGAGAAGAAAGTAGAATCAGAAGGTAAACTCTGGCCTTCCCTGGTCGTGGCAGTAAAGGCCTCAGCCAGGTGAGTGCACTACCTGACGAGGACTCGGCTGAGCTGGTTTTCCTCTCGCTGTCGCTGATATCCTGTAAGTCGGACAGCAGGTCTCTCTCTTCCATCTTCTCTTCTTTCACTTATGAAACAAACCAGCGAAGTTGAACTTGGGGAAATGTTTTTAAATAAATAGATACCACAACCCCAAAATTAGATAATACCTTTCACGTAATAATTAACTTCTCTTTCTATGAAAACAGCTCATCCACATACTTCTAACTGGAAAAGCAACTTCTATAAGGACCAGTAACAAATGCTTCAGCTGACAGACACACGACCTCCCTCAACGCAAACAATAACAGCCCTTCTCATAACACGAGAGTGCTGTCGCCAGCTTATCACTGCATTGTGAAATTACTTAGCTGGTTTTTCCTTATATCGGTTTTATAAACTGTTACAGAAGCCCTAAAAGGGCTAAAAAGTTTCCCCAGCAAAGACTCACACTATGTTGGTCTCCAAGCAGATGCTGGCCTGACCTCACCTGGTTTCCGGCCGTCTCCTAGCTCAAACCGCTCCCGTGGCGGCCGCAGTGGACTGCGACTCCAGTGGCTTGCTTTCACCTTATCACCATAGTCCTCTCTCAGTGTTCGGTGATGAGCAGAAACTAGGGCACACACAGGATAGAGTGGAGCTGGTACACCCACACCTGGGCAGACACATCCATGGGGGCAAATGAGGTGCTAACATGCTGTGAGCTGACCTCAAAAACCTAGGTAGACCTTCTAGGTAGACTGATCTCCACTGGTCAAAAGGGGGAGGGAGAAGATTATGGGAAGACAGTGGAGTTGGAAGCCCCAGGAATCAATCTCTTAGTCTAGAAAACACGGTACTGGCAGACTCTGATGTAACTACTTTGGAACTCTGGAGTCTAACTTCCAAAGGAAGGCTTGAACAGTAATCTGAGATAGGTTGCACATAGGTTGCTGGACCCAGGATGAGAACAATCCTGACCTCTGAACTTCAGGGATCTGCACTCTGACTGCTATTTCTGATCATCACAGAGGTGCAAAGAGGCCAGCGGCTGCTAATGCTGCACTCCTCTCTCTAGCTAGGGTGACTTCAGGGGATTTAACGAATTAGTGCGCCTTTTCTCTTCATTTTTCTCTTTTCCCTTTTTAGAAGCCAGACATTTAAAGATAAGGACATTCAAAACCAACTGCATATATTGACGAAATGATGAAGTGAGCACACATGCCCAGATAAAGGCCCAAGCTCAGAAAAAATATTAAAAGACCTTAGGTTTACACCTCAGCTGATTCTCAGCACAGACGGCCCAGTAAGTAGTAAGAAACCAATTTCCAGAGTTACCACAGTATTAGATACAAATGTCCAATTAAAAAAAAAAAAATCACAAGACACACGAAGAAACTGGAAAGTGTGTTCCATTCACAGAAAAAAATATACCAAAAGAAACTGTCCCTGAAAAAGACCTGATGGTAGAGCGGGGTATGGTGGCACATGCCTATAATCCCAATTACTCAGGAGGCTGAGGCAGGAGGATCATGAGTTCGAGGCCAGCCTGGGCAACATGGTGAGACCTTGTCTCTAAAAAAAAGAAAAAGAAAAAAGACCCGATGGCAGATCTTCTAGACGAAGACTTTAAAATAACTGTCTAAAAGATGCTCAATGAACTAAAAGACTACATGGAGACAGTCAAGATGATAATGTATGAACAAAATGGAAACATAAAGAGAAAACCTAGGGACCAGCAGTTAGCTGGTCATTGAACTCCCATGTAGTCAACCATGGTTCGAGTCCTGAACCCGGTGGTTTAAACTCACACCAGGCTCGTGTGCGTGCATGCCCAAGATCCTGAGAGGAGAATGGAGAAGGAATTATGGCATGGCCATCCCCCTGGGTGGTGATTTCTCGCTTTCTGTCTCTGTCTCTCATACTGGCGAGTGCATGCGCCCTGTAGCAAAAACCTCTCTTAAAAAAAACCCCAAAAAACCAAAAACCCTAAAAAGAAACCAAAAAGAAATTCTAGAGCTGAAAATTACAATAACTACAATAAAACATTCTCTAGAGGGACCAGAAGTTAGCGTAATGGCTATGTCACTGGACTCCCAAGTAGTCGACCGCAATTCGAATCCCGGACCCGGTGGCTTAAACTCATGCCAGGTGCGTGTGCATGCGTGCCCAGGATCCCAAGAAGTGAAAGGAGGAGAAGGGATTGAGGAGTGACCATCCTCCCTGGGGATGATTTCTCGCTCTCTATCTCTCTGTCTCTGTCTGTCTGGCAAGTGCGCGCGCCCTATAGCAAAAACCTCTCAAAAAGAAAAAAAATTCTCTATAGGGAATCAAAGGCAGATTTAAGCAAGTAGAAAAAAGAATCAATGGACTTAAAAACAGGACAATGGAAATGACTGAGTATAAGGAACATGAACAAAAGGCTGGAGAGGGACCAGCAGATAGTGTATCGGTGATGTCACTGGACTCCCACACGGTCAACTGCAGTTCAAGTCCAGGACCAGGGGCTTAAGACTCACACTGGGCGCATGTGCCAAAAATCCTGAGAGAATGGAGGAGAAGGGATTGAGGCATGGCCACCACTCCTGAGGGTGATTTCTCACTTTTTCTGTCTCTCTGGCAACCGCATGTGCCCTATAGCAAAAATCTCTCTCTCTCTCTTTTTTAAATAATTATTTTATTTATTCATTCATTTATTTTAATTTGACCAGAGAGTGAGAGAGAGAGAGAGAAAGAGAGAGCGAGCGAGCGCGCAGTAAAGTGAGAAAGCAAGCCATCAGGTCCAGGACTTGAACCGTGGTCAGCCACATGGGAGTTTCCAGCACCTTAACCACCATGCCACCTGCAGATCCCTGCAAAAATCTCTCTTAAAAAAAACAAAACAAAACTGGAGAACGGGGAACAGAGCTTAAAGGACCTACAGAACACCATCAAACAGATCAATCAAGGCATGGTGGAGCCTGACAAGACAAAAAAAGAGGCAAGAAAATGTATTTATACACATACACATATGTATGTGTGCGTGTATATATATACATATATATATATATATAAAATGTGTGCATGAGTACGTATATATGTGTGTGTGTGTATATATATAAATTTTCTTTAGTTTGTTATAGGGCATAAGTGTTCATCAAAGAGACACGTGGGTGTGGGTGGGGAGTAAGAAAGCACATCCCACACTCTCACAAGGGGGAGGGCCATGTTGCAATCCCCTCTCCTATGGTCTCCACTTGGGATTTTGGGCACATACATGTGCCAAGCTGCTGGGCCTGGAACTCAAACTGCACAGCCATGTAGGACTAAGCCACTTTAACACAACCATACCAGTGGCTGGCCTGGCAAGAAAATAAATAATTGCTAACAACTTGCCACATACGATGAAAAACATGACTACAAATACTCAAGAGATTAGCAGCAGCAGCACAGTATTAATGCGATGTTCCAGGATACTGGGCCCGCATGGCAATGTCCTAAGTTCATGTCCATAGGTCTCCTTGTATGTGCTGTGCAAATGTGCACCCACGATCCAGGCTGGCTAAGGCCAGGGGTGGGTGACTGCACGAAGACCCTGTTGGGGATACTCTTCTCTCCTTTACTCGCTCATGGAGGAAAGACAGAAACTTACACCACAAAAAAGAATGAGGGCCAGCCAATAGTGTGGTGGTTAAAGTGGCTGGATCCCATATGACCAGTTGCACAGTTAGTCTTTGACACAGCAGTTTGAGGAACAGATTGGGCGTGTGTGTATGCATACCCAGAATCCTGAAAGGAGATTGGAGAAGGGATTATGGTATCAACTTCCTCTCTGGGGAGCGCTTTCTCACTCTCCCCCTTCTGTCTCTCAGATGAGTACACATGCCCTACAGCAAATTTAAAAAAAAAAAAAGGAAAATTCTGATACCTTCTACAACATGGATGGGCCTAGAGAAGTCTGTGCTTAGAATAATTCAAGACATAGAAGGACACACAAAGTGTGACTTTACTGTTATGCCCAGGGCTCAGCACGGCACCCAGGACTGAGCCCTCTACACCCAGACAGGCTGGCTGCATCTATATAAGATATGCTAGCCTTAGAATCACAAGTCACCCCACTCAGGAACAGCCTAGAGGAGGCCCCAAACAGAAGCCAGTTGGTCCATCCATACCTTCCCTTCGGGCCTCACGCTCTTTGCGTCGTTCCTCAGCCCTCCGCTCCCGCTCCTTCTGTTCCCGCTGCTCTTTCTGCTGTTCCCGCAGCTTGCGCTCTCGCTCCCGCTTCCTCTCTAACTGCTCCAAGCGGTCCCTATAAGAAGCACGTGTCATTTTGTTGCCCTCAACAAAGTTTTTTTCATCTCGTGTTTTTTGTTGAAATGTCTTCGTAAAATTTTCAATCTATAAAGGGCTTTTCAGGGACCAGCAGGTGGCATGGTGGTTAAGGCACTGGACACTCCCCAATGGGTGACTGTGGTACGAGTCCCGGACCTGGTAGTTTGCGTTCTCACTTTACCTCTCTCTATTTGTGTCTCTCTCTGGTCAAATTAAAATAAATGAATGGAAAATAAATAAATAAATAAATGTACTTTAAAAAGGGCTTTTTAAAAGCAGAAGATGGCACCAGCCTAGTAGTGCAGTGGTTAAACATTGTGTAGAGGAAATCAGAGCTCAATGTTTGAGTCCCATGCCTGGCAGCTTAAAAAACACATGGGTGGGACCAGCAGGTGGCATAGTGGTTGAGGCAGTGGACTTCACACATGGCCGACCGTGGTGTGAGTCCTGGATCTGGAAGCTTGCTTTCTCGCTTTCCCTCTCTGCCTCTGTGACTCTCTGTGGTGAGCACATGTGAAAAAAAAAAAATCAATAAAACAAATAATTCTTTTTTGAGAGGTTTGTTTGTTTGTTTTGCTATCGGGCACATGTGCTCGCCAGAAAGACAGAGACAGACAGAAAATGAGAATTCGCCCTGCCGGGGGGATGGCCACGCCACAATCCCTTCTCCTCCATTCTCCTCTAGGTATCTTGGGCATACATGCACATGTGCCTGGCATGAATTTAAGTCAACAAGTCCAGGACTTGAACCACGGTGAGTCACATGGTAGTCCAGTGACATAGCCATTATGCCAACTGCTGGTCCAATAATTCTTTTTTTTGAGAGGTTTTAGCTACAGGACGTGTGCGCTCGCTGGAAAGACAGAGAGAGACAGAGAGAAAGCGAGAAATCACCCCCCAGTGGAGATGGCCATGCCGCAATCCCTTCTCCTCCATTCTCCTCTTGGGATCTTGGGCATGCGCACACACACGCGCCCAGTCTGAGTTTAAGCCACTGGGTCTGGGACTCGAACCGCGGTTGACTATGTGGAGTCCAGCAACATAGCCATTACGCTAACTGCTGGTCCCCAATAATTATTTTTTAAATAAATTAAAAAAAAACTTATTTATCATGATTATTCGTATTTTTAATTTGACCAGAGAAAGAGAGAAAGTGAGAAAGCAAGCCACTAGGTCAAGGACATGAATCTTGGTTAGCCGTGTAGGAATCCAGCACTTTTAACCACGATGCCACCTGCCGGCCCCTAAAATAATTAATTATTTTAAAACAAACACACACCTGTTTAGAGCCTGGCAGGTGGCATGGAAGTTAAGGCGCTGTACTCCCACATGGTCATCTGTGGTTAGAATTCCAGACCTGGTGGCTCGCATTCTCACTTTCTCTCGCTCTCTGATAAGCACATGTACCCTATAGCAAATTAAAAAATAAAAATTAAATAATTCTTAAAAAGAACAAAACAAAAAACACCTGGGCATGCACATGTATACCCAGGATCTGGACAGGATGAACTAGAGGAAGAAGGATTAGCTACATGATCAGGCCCTGTAAGGGGGGTGGTGGGTGCTGTCTTTCTCCCCGTCCCATGCTTAAACACACACGCTGGCGTACATAAAATTAAAAAAATAAAACTAAAGCAGAAAGTATATGTACATACTATCTTAGAGCCACAGAAGAATAACATCAAGTATTGACAAAGTGAGGTAGTTATCTGTTAGAAACAAGAAAATTTCAGTTTTCTGCACATTTGTTTACTAGCTCTACCAAAACACATCAAGAATTCCCCTAAGGGGTACCAGCAGTTAGCGTAATGGCTATGTCGCTGGACTCCCACACAGTCAACTGTGGTTCGCGTCCTGGACCTGGTGGCTTAAAACTCACGCCGGGCGCGTGTGCGTGCGTGCCCAAGATCCTGAGAGAAGAAGGGATTGCGGTGTGACCATCCCCCATGGAGGGTGATTTCTCGCTTTCTGTCTCTCTGTCTCTCTCTGTCTGTCTGGCGAGCGCACGCGCCCTATAGTGAAAAACCTCTCAAAAAATAAAAAAATAAAAAAAATAAAATTAGAGACACAATTCCCCTAAGTATGTATGGTAACTCAATTTAAATCCAAATTCGTCATGAGATCAATTTCCATAAACTACAAGAGGGTAGAAAAGGCTGCTGGTAAGTGGGGGTGGGGGCTGAGACTGAGACTCATGCCCTAGACGAGGTGCTGCCCCCCCTCAATGGAGTATCTAGAACATGGATACCATGTGGGCCTGACTAAGACAGGAGGGCAGTGGGCAAGCTGCTTGGAAATAAGGAATAGTAACTACAGTATGTGTGGCTGGCTGCAACACAAAGTGGCCTAGTAGTTAAAACTGATCATTTAATCGTTTTTAAAGTATTATTATTTTTTTTATAATTTTACTTATTATTATTTTCCAGTTTGATTAGAGAGAAAGTGAGAAAGCAAGCCACCAGGTCTGAGACTTGAACCATGGTTGGCCATGTAGGTGTCCAGCACCTTTAACCATCATGCCACCTACCGGCTGCCATTTAATCAATTTTTATTTTCCTACAAATACAATCTGAAAAACTAATATATCTATCTATCTATATACATGCATACATACACACATATATTAAAAGTTTTATTGGGACCAGCAGTTAGTATAATGGCTATGTCGTTGGACTCCCATGTAGTTGACCGCTGTTCGTGTCCTGGACCCGGTGGCTTAAAACTCACGCCGGGCGCGTGTGCGTGCGTGCCCCAAGATCCCGACAGGAGAATGGAGGAGAAGGGACTGCGGCATGACCAACCCCCCTGGGGGGTGATTTCTCACTCTCTGTCTCTCTGTCTCTCTCTGTCTGTCTGGCGAGCGCACACACCCTATAGCAAAAACCTCTAAAAAAAAAAGTTTTATTATGTCTAGCATTTGACCACAGAAAGAGAGAGGGAGAGTAAGAAAGCAAGCCACCAGGTCCAGTACTAGGACAAACTATGGTCGGCCATGTGGGAGTCCAGCGCCTCAACCACCGTGCCACCTGCCGGTCCCTAACTCATGTTTTTAAAAAGTGTCATTATAAAGAGAAATAAACATATGTAAAAATGGTGGAAAAAGGACGAGGCCTATAGTCTGGGTGATAGTGCCATGCCAATATTTATCTACATCAGGGGCCAGTGGGTGGTGTGGTGGTTAAGGCACTGGAATTACCACATGGCTGACTGCGGTTTAAGTCCCAGACCTGGTGGCTTGCTTTCTCATTCTCCCTCTCTCTGTCTGGTAAAACTCGTGTGTGTCTGTGTGTAAAAACAAACAAACAAACAAAAAACAAACAAACAAACAAACAAAAAACAACCAAATAAATAAATAATTCTTAAAAAAAAAAAATGATCGGGCCCAGTAGTAAGCGTAATGG